GAGCAGAGTGCAGAAGGCTGGCAAATGGCCGAAGGGAAGAGATGAGGGCCCCTGCCGACCCTACCAAGGGGTAACTGGAGGAAAGGGCGTGGAGTTAAAGATCTAATGCCTACCAACCTGCCATGCAGAAGCATCCTGAGGGAAGAGTAGGAATGGTGTGAAAACACTTTAGAACATATTTATTTCACAGTTACATGGCATTTGATAGCTCAAAACTCTTCAGAATTTCTGATGTCCTCAACACTAACATGAGATGCGGATAGACCACCATCTCTGGACTCAAGAATGTATCCAGCTGGGGAGGAGGTATTAACATAGGCAAAACAATTAGCTAGTAATACAATGTGACCCATAAAACATTCATGTATTTAAAAACCTGAGCTGTGAGGCAGAACCTGCGGCATGGGAGGCGGCAGGGCTGTGTGAGACTCGTGGGAGGGAGCGTGGGGCCCTGCACCAGTGGGTCAGATCCACGCAGACACCAAGGCGCTCTGGGAGGGGCAGGGCAAGTGTTTTCCTCGATTACTTTATCCCGTATAACCAGATTCTGAGTGTCAGCTGTTTGTATACTCAGTTCATCATTTTAGGTACCTGCTATTCTTCCTCTGGCTCCCGAAATATCTGAGCGAGCAGAATGAGGATCCTCACTGTCTCCTTCTACCTTTTGCTATTTAAAATAAAGTAAAAATCATTTTAAGCAGCCCCCACCCACCCCCACCCCCCAAAAAAAAACAAGAACAGAGAACAGGGTGGTTCAAAAATTAAGTCAAAAAGAAACTTCCAGTAGGAGTGACAAGGTAAGGGAACCTCAGATGAGTGCTCCGGGCTGCGCGCCACAGGCCACGTGGGTGGGACACCGTCTCCCTGCTGTGCTCAGAGCAGGCAGAGAAGGCCTGAGATCAGGATTATCAGTCCTCCCCTGGAGGAAGGGCCCCATGGAAGGAACTAAACCGTAGGCCTCAGAGTGTGCAGCAGATGCAGGGAGTAAGGGCTGTGCATGCTTTAGAAAATCCCCTTGTCCTTTCTTCAGAGCAGAGTGGAAGAAAGAAAATGGAGAAGGCCCTGTTCCAATTACTGCTCCTATTAAGACCAGCAGCTTTTGCAATTGTCAGAACAAAAAGGACAGGCCCGGAAGTCTTTTAAGCAATTGCCCTACATTACATGAAAGTGACACAAGGTCCACTGTGATCCATTGTTCCCAACGGAGATGGAGGGCTTTGATGGCCATAAAACATATTCTCTGGGACCTCAGGGAAAGGCGGGCAAGAGTGATTTG